CCATCCACCCACCCATTCACCTATCTACCTAGCTGCCCTGAGCTCCAGTGAAACAAGTGAACCCCTACTGCAATGGGGTAACTAGAGAGATAAGTGGACAAACGCCTCCCTTCTCCTGTTAGAGCAAAGATTAACTGGAGGAGAGGGAAGAGAGGAGGCCCCTCCCAACAAGTCACTGTTAGCTCCTTGTGCCCTTCTGAGGGAAAGAAGCAGAGCCCTCGTGGGTCCAAGGCAGGAAACGCAGCTGATGCCTCGCTCATTGCTGCCAGCGCATCCCGGGCATGGCCACCGGCCCTTCAGTGCTGAGGGGGAGATGCCTCGGAGACCTTGGCACAAAGCAATCCTGTGAGCTGAGGACAGAAACAGCTTCACCTCAACTAGGAGTGAGGCTAGGTTATAGGGGACACATTAAAGATGGTGAGAGGATACCAAACCATATCAGTCACTTATTCTTTTTAAAGGAGCTTATCTAAAGTTCTGTACTGGTTATAATTTTAAGAGAGAATTTGTTGTTATTTTTAATGGTGACACTAGGTGGGAAATTTGTACTGATTTCTTATCTTAAACACACATACAACGTGTCTCTTATTGCTTCAATTGCACGAGCACATTATATTACCATCACCTGGTGGCACTGTGCGTAAACACTGGGCCCAGTTCTGAGAAGGTGAATAAACCTTCTGAAGGTGGATTCTGCAAAAATCTACCTTCAGGTACATTAAAAAACCAAAACCAAACCAGTTGCTGAGTCACGGTGACCCCACGCATTAGGTGATGGTGTTTATCACAGGAGGATGGGCTACAGAGTTTGGAGCATGAAACAGAGAGAGGATGTTAGAGACGTCCAGCAGCAACAGGGTTCCAAGGCAGAGCCGTGTTCATCTGACACAAGAAGATGCTCCACCGATTCTCCTATTTACCCCACCAGTCAAGATTTCTAGTCCTTCATTTTGGTAAGCGCTCAGCTGCTAACCAAAAGGTTGGTGGTTCGAAACCACCAAGAGGCTCAGCAGGAGAAAGACGTAGTGATCTGCTTCTATAAAGATTACAGCCTAGGGAACCCCTATGGGGCAATTCTACTCAGTCACACGGGGTCGCTATGAGTTGGAACTTCAACGGCACCCAACAACAACAACATCTCTTATTTACGGAAAACAGTTCCTACAAAGCGCAGCTATTGCTCTCCTAGGAAAAGGAGACAGTGCTGACAGAACCAAAGTCAGCACCCACCACTGACTCAAACTCTCCGCCCCTCCCACCCCAAAATCCCGGCTACTCACCCAGGTTGTACCACATGTCTCTGATTTCAAAACCAATCTGTCTCCTCATATCGCCATACCTGAAAAGCAGGGGAAAGAAATGCTGAGTCATGCCACAGGGAATCTGGAACCAGACTTGAATTATTTTTATGTGCCATAAAACTTCCCCATCCCCAAGACAAACAGAGAGAGCCGAAGCTTCAACTTCCTTCGCCACCAAAAGGAATTGAAGAGAGGGCTCCAGGGGAGAGCCTCTCAAGTTCCCATCTCGGAGGCGGAGGCGGATTATGTAACCCCCTCCCTGCTGTGGGACGAGGGGGCGGCTGTGGAGGAGAGTAATGGAGGTGTTTTCCTTTCTTTTGTCTCTAATGGCAAGCGCAGGAGAACTCGGCTCTGTGGCCTGAGGGGGGTTTGTTTTGCGCGCATGTTGTTGGCACACACACACCAAAGAAATCCTTCAGTCATGTGCACCAGAGCAGCTTTCACGTGTTAAAATTAAGCCCTGGAGTCGACAGCCAGACCAGGGAAAGCCTCCTCCAAATACCTTCTTCTTTATCGGTTTAAATGTGAAGAACGGTTTAACACCTAAAGATGTCATCCAATATTCCAGCACTTTTGTTTATCGGGGAAAATGAATGCTAATTTGCCTCCCAGTGGAGGTGCGGTGAGGTATGCGTTTCATGAGTAAACAGAATTTGATGCTTCAGAAGACAAACCTTTATTAGCTGGTGAGAAATTTAACTTTTTCGTTTATTGCCTCAGGAAAAAGCTGATTATATTAAAAATAGTAATTCGTAAGATCATCATGCAAGACTGCAGTTTGACAGCTGTGTGGTAGAAGCTGGGCTGAGCGTCCCCATGTAATCAGATACAAAGGGAGAGCTCTGATTACACATGGCCGCATGGCGGCTTTTACGGCCAGTATCGTTGCCTATAAATCAACAGTCACAGATCCGCTGCTTCTTACCAGTCTCAGGCGACCTGCCTGTCACTCACCACAGGTGAGGGCGGCAGCCTGTGTGATAATCTCACCCGGAAGCCACAGGTTTCAACCACAGAGACACTGCCGTGTGGGCAGGAGGTCGAGTGACTGGACCCATTTGACAAAGAAACTGAGATCAGGGAGCATAAGCCACTTCCCATGAGGACAAGCTGATTCTCTGGATAAACGTATTACATACACACAAGCCCCCAACTGGATGAGAGCCGATAAGGCAGGCTCCCCAGTGAGTGAGGTGGGATCTTGACCCGGGGTGCCCCTGTCTGTCACCAAAGCCAAAGTGGGGAGAGGTGTGCCCACGGTTGCTGAACTCACCTGCAGCAAAGCTACTGGGTCTGAGTTTGCAGGTGGCAGGAATGTACCCTTCAATGTGTAAGTGGCACCCCAAGTTGCCCAAGGACGTATGATCCAAACACCAAGTCCTACAGTCTTTGGGTGCTTGCAGCGCTGATTGCACACGTCCACTGTGCTCTGGCACAAATAACGAGTGGGATGCCAGGAGCAGCTGCCCAGGCCGGGAGAGGACACACTGGCCACGTGACTGTGCAGGAGGGTGGCACCCTCGAATGTACAGGAAGAGGGAGGTGAGCATGAAAACCGTGCACAGCCCATGTGGACTGTTCCTCGCGGGGTGGATGAGGGTCTCACCGTGCACGGGGGTGCACTGCCCTGAGAACATGACACCCCTCTCCAGCGCTCCGTCACCCTGTGTTCAGACCCCAGCATGCCAGGAGGGCCAGAGGCCCCAGAAGGCACTAAAAGCTGGTCACAGGTGGACTAGCCTATCACTTGCTGTCTAACTCAAGTTTTAAATACTCTTCTAACATCCAAGCAGCACAGAGTTCCTTGTCATCTAGGGATACTATCTCTCAAAAAATTAAGACAGTTAATCTAGGTTAATCTTCACCCAGTCAAAGCACTGGTGGTCCAATGGTACAATTCTCGCCTTCCATACAGGAAACCTGGGTTCGATTCCTGGCCAAGGCACCTCATGAACAGCCACCATCCGCCTATCACTGGAGGCCTGTGTGTTGCTATGATGCTGAACAGGTTTCAGCAGAGCTTCCAGACGACGATGGACTAGGAAGAAAGGCCTGGCAACTACTTCTGAGAATCAGCCAGTGAAAACCCTATGGATCATAAGGGTCTGTCTGATCTGCAACTGATGATGGGGATGATGAAGGACCAGGTGGTGTTCATTCCATTGCACATGGGTTGGCCATGTGCCGGGGTCGACTGGACAGCAGCTAACAACACGCCAACAATCTCCTCCCTTCTGCACACCTCTCTGCCCTCTGACTCACCTCCCGCTCTCAGGACTGACAATCACCCTCTATTCAGAGGACCTTCCAAAGTTCAGAAGTACAAAGTTAAGCAGACCCCCGGCAGCGGCAGGCTTAGAATTTGTGGTCTGGGTCATTCAGGAGTGACCCACCTGCTCATGTCTGAGAAAGGTTTGTCATTTTTCTAGAGCTGGAGCCAGGTTCTGGGCAGGAGGCGGAGAGGGGAGCCAGGAGAGGACCCCCCACCCCCACCCCTGCACAGCAACTCCTTTAAGGTGCTGAAGAGGGGGGCTCAGGGTGAGGCATTTACATTTTTCAGCTATACTTTCCCTGAGAACGGGATGGATTGAGAAAGACGTGAGAGCACACCCCTCATGAGCAGCACAGGCCTATTGTACAAAGGTGCTAAAAGAGGTATTTTAACAGTCAAATACAACAAAGGTGCTTCAGTAACAAAGAGAGAGGAGGGGCAGGAGCGAGGAGAGAAGGCCAAGATTGAATTTTCCTGGCAGCCAGATGGATCTTTTCTTTAGTTTTAATAAGAAGGCAGCTTTGATGAATCTATCCGTGCCTCAGAGTAATCCCAAACAGAGTTACAGCTGTCACCTGAACTCAGGAGACCCTCCCGAACCATTCCTGTGTTCTTACCAAGGAGAAATCACAGAAAAACTAACTAGCAAGTGTCCTGGGCTAATCACGCTCATGATGGGGATCAGAATTTCCGAGCAGGTGGCGACCTTACGATCGTCATTTGGTCCCTATCTAACAATGTATAGCTGAGGGAAATGGACCAGGGCCAGAGAGGAGGGCCAAGACTTGGCCCAGGTCACGGGGAAGGAGGAGAAGAGCGTCCAAGCTTCCGAACGCCCAAATCCAACTTCTCCCACCACAACGCGTGATTCCCGACCAGCTCAGGCATATACCTACAACGTCACAACCCAGCACTGTCTCATGTTTCAGAGTGCGCTTGTCTCATCTTATGCTCAGGATAAGAATGGGAGGTGACTGAGAAGAAACTAATGACTGTGTATCCAATGAGGAAGCAGAGATTCATGGAGGTTAACCACATGCCTGGCTCCCCAAGGCTAGAATAACACAGAGCTGGAGTCAGCTTGGCTGAGTGCCTCCTACCACACCCAGCTCACCTGTAGTCCACCTCCAGAGCCAGTGAGCATAGGAACAACACCTTCAAACTGCCCAAGGGGGCCCCTGGGAGGCTACTTTCCACGGCCCAGGCAGATGGCCTCACTAGGACCTACACCCTTAACCCTAAAATAAACTATGTAAATTTGTTCTCTGTGGGCTAACCTTGGCGCCCGTTCAGGCTGAAAATTCTAAACGGGGATTTTACGCTTAGATGTGCTGCTTATTGTTGTTACGTGCTGTTGAGTCAACCCCTGACTCACGATGACCCCATGCGGAACGAAACACTGCCCAGTCCTGCACCATCCCCACGATAGGTTATGGATCGGACTGCTGTGTCCATATGGTTTTCACTGGCTGATTTTCGGAAGTAGGTTTCTTTGGTCTGTCTTAGTCTGGAAGCTCCACTGAAACCTGTTCAGCATCATAGCAACGTGCAAACCTCCACTGACGGACGGGTGGTGGCTGCGCATCAGGTGCACGGGCAGGGAACCGAACCCGGTCTCCCACGTAGAAGGTGAGAGTTCTACCAAGAGCCACCACTGTCCCCTAGACATGCCTGTTGTGAGGTGCCGTCAAGTCGGTCCAACGCACAGCGACCCCATGTACAACAGAACGAAACACTATCCAGTCCTGTGCCAGCCTCACAATAGTTGCTATGTTTGAGCCCATTGTTGCGCCACTGTGCCATTCCATCTCATTGAGGGTCTTCCTCTATTTCACTGACCCTCTGCTTTACCAAGCATGACGTCCTTCTCCAGGGACTGGTCCCTCCTGATAACACTTCCAAAGTACATGAGACCAAGTCTCATCCTCGCTTCTAAGGCGCATTCTGGCTATACTTAGATAGGCCCAATTTGTGAATCTCTGTCTCTTTCAGAAGGAAGCCTGGCCCTGATATACAATTCCTTCTTTGCAGTCACGTGAGATATCACCCCACACCGGGACACACAATGTTTTCATACTAAAATTTTCAAGTCGGCCACTAATCAAAAGTCAAGTTTTTAAAATTTTACTCTATTTCCTGAGCCCCAGTAACATGGAAGGCTTGGGGTTGGATGGAAGGAAGAAAGGATTGTCAGGCTTAGCATTCCGTGGACATTTCTGTCCTTCATTAGGAGTCGCTTGCACCAAGGGTATCGGAAGGTTGAACTGTTGAATTTTCTTATTGTGGATTTTGATTTCTAGGGGTTATTTGTTTTGTGGTTCATTGGCAAGTCTTATATTCAATTTGCGTTTGACATAATCAGTTCTCTGCGTGGTGAGGCCCATTCTTTTATGTAACTCTCATGCACTTTGAGGAATGTCTTTGGAATGAATATCTTAATTATCCTCCCTAACCTTAATAATCAGGAGGATGGGAGCTTAACAAGAGAAAATGAATAGGCAGATCTTCTGACACCAGTATTTCCTGTTGTTCTGAGCCACAGTGCTGTTGACAGGGACAGAGGTGAGGGGCTGTGGGGCTTGGCAGGGAGGAACCAAGGGGTAGGCTGTTGGGGGCTATTCCACCATGAAGCCCTTACTGAGATTCACCAACCCTAGAAGAGCAGAGGAGCTCATAGAGACAGCCCAGAGGCTATAATACGGGTGTGGCATCACTCCACCCTGTGGCCCCTTGGGCTTTCCCCCAAGGAGGGAGAATCCCATGATTATGCTCCACTGTATACTAAGTTAGCCTCCCCAGCATTGCTCAGATCCTGGGATCAATTCCCACATCACCAGCCCCTCAAGCTCTGCCCAAGCCCCAGCCCTCCAGGCTTCTATTTCTGAAGACAAGGTGGGCATGGTCACCATCATGGACAGCAGAGTCAAAGCAGTAATCAGATTAGTCTGACTCTCCTAGACATATGGCGTTGGCCAATTGGTCATGATGTCCCTAGGAGTGAAACAGATGAAAGACTACTAATTTCTTACTTGACCTGTATAAGCAGAAGAGTCCTAGGGCAAATGAACAAAAGTCTAACTTGAATTATGAAAATAGAGTCAAGTCCCCTCAATCAATTCCCAGACTTAAGCCATCTTATAAGACCCATAGTCCCTTGAATGAAGGGAAGGCCAGGTCCCCTTGAGGAAGGACCCCACGGCACTGGCAAAAATGTAAACTGTTCATCTTTCTACTAGCTTTCCACAAAGGGTCTACAGCCTTTTACCAGGCTGACTGTTCACTGGGGAAAAGGAAATATTCAAACTTTTGGGGGGATTACTGGACATTGGCTCTGAACTGACAGTTACCCTGGGAGACTCGCCAGTCAGAGTGGGAGTGCATGGAGATCAGGTTATCAGTGGAGCCTTAGCTCAGGTCCGTCTCACAGTGGGTCCGGTCGGTCCCCGAACCCATCCTGTAGTGATTTCCCCAGTTCCAGAATGCAGAATTGCAATAGTCATGCTTAGCAACTGGCAGAATGCCCTTGATGTCCCCTTTTGGGACTGGCTGTTCATTGAAGCTCTGCTTGGGTCACAGAGCCAACCTCTGGGTCTCCTTCACCACCCAGCCTGGAAGTGAACGCCACCAGGAGGCCTTCTGAGTCACCCAGCTGAGCCCTCAGGCCCACCTCCGGGCTCCAAGCCACTCTCATTACTCCCCTTCCACTCCCCTGGCACCAAGGTGTGCGAAGGTCGAGCGGTCAAATTTTCTCCTCACAGCTTTTGATTCCTAGGGGTTATCATGTTCTGAGTTTCATTGGCAAGTCCTGTACTCCATTCGGGTTTGACCAAATCAATTCTTCGCACACTGTGGACCATTCTTTTATGTGACTCCCATGCGCTCTGGGCAATGTTTTTGGGGATGTAATAATTTCTGCATATCTACCTTCCCCATTGGACTTGGACTTCTTCACCACAAGGTCTAGGCATTATCTCGTTGTCCCCAGCGGCCTCACAGGGTCAAGGAAGAGGGTCTGCTCTCAGACATGCAGAACGCTTTCTCCCTGATGACCTGTGGTGCTGTCTGTTGTGCTACTCTTCATGCCCCTTGATTTATCTTAAATACTTTGTAATCAATTTGCAGACTTTATTTCTACACAGCAAAACTTCCATTGGAAATATCTGAAGAGATCCTACCCAAATGCTTTGGACCTTCTGAGGGGCGTGCTTACGATGACACAGGGGCCAGCTCAGTCCTTGCAAATCCAGCCGACGAGGACAGTTATCTCCTTCAGAGAAGGAAACCACAGCCAGTGTCAACTCCATAGTGAGTTGTTCGATAATTGTAACAGTGCCAACAGCTTCCATCAGAGGCTTTTTTTTTGAGAAGCAGAATTGGAGAATTAAGTAGTAAAGTAACCTGCATGTGGAATGACATCACAATAGTCCAGAGCAAAGCAATTATCTCCTGAAACGCCCATTCTGTGTTGTGCTAATAGTCTTGAATTATACGGACTTTGAACCTACCATGATGAATCCTGCAATTTTAGATCTTGATTCATGGGTTAGAAAAGGCAATACCCGATGCATGATTTAAAAACCCCCTTTCATTACATCGTGATTACATCTCAATTTGTACCAAGCTGGCTTAGAGATGCCATGGAAATTATGCTAACAGAATTGGAGGCGCCTACCCCGGGTTTCTGAGCTGGATGAGGACTTACTTGTTCAGGATTTTGGCTCGCTTTGCACTTGAAAAATTCTCCAGTTGCAAGGACTCTTGGGTAAGGAAAGCTACGGCCAGGTGAAAGTAGTTGTTCCACAGCTGAAAACCAAAAAGGGGGAAGGGCAGAGTTGGTGAGCAGCTTAATGGAGGATTTGAAATGTGCTCTGAAACATTCATCATTTGCCTAACACACACTTCTGAAATGTTTAAAACAGAAAAATTAAAAATGTGCTCACTAGATACAAATTGCAGCGTGGTTCAGTGTTGCCCACGGGCTCCGGGATCACGTTCCCAAAACCAAACCACTGCTGTCAACGTGATTCCGACTCCTAGGGACGCTGTAGGACAGAGTACCACTGCCCCATAGAGTGTCCAAGGCTGTAATCTTTATGGAAGCACACCGCCACATCTTTCTCCCACGGAGTGGCTAGTGGGTTTGAACCACCGGCCTTTCGGTTAGCAGCCGAGCGCTTTAACCGCTGTGCCGCCAGGGCTCCGGGATCACAATGTAGGTGTTCAAATCCCAATTCTGCCATTTATTTGGGCAGTCAATCTAACCTCTCAGTTTCTTCATCAATAAAACAGAAATTTTAATAGTACCTACCTTACAGGGTTGCTGGAAGGATCAAAGGAACAAAGGAGCGCAGGGCGTTTCCAGTGGCGCCCAGCACGTGACACACACTACACATATGGAAGCTCTTACTCCCATGTGGAGGACCTGCCTCCTTGAGAATAATGTGCTAGTACCAATTGCTGTTAAGTAGGCTCCGACTCATGGCACCCCCATATGTGTCAGAGTAGAATTTCACTCCACAGGGTTTTCAATGGCTGACTTTTTGGAAGTAGATCACTAGGACTTTCTTCTGAAGGCCCTCTGAGTGGACTCAAACTTTCAACCATTTGGCCAGCAGCTGAGCATGTTAGCCATCTGCATCACCCAGGAATTCCAAAGATTAGTCTAGATTTCTATAATTTATGATTTGTGTGATACCAAAAACCAAAAAAAAAAAAAAAGCATAGATACACTAGACAGTTGAGGGAAACAGATATAAAATAAAATCAAACATTCCATATTTCAAGGACTTACAGACAATTCGTGGCTTACAGACAATTTGCTATGAAATGACTCCGGTCATAAATCTCTTTACCACAGAAGTTCTGTCTATTTGGGCACCGCGTCTGCCCTTGGTGTTATAAAAGTGTTCTTAAACAAGAAACGTTGTTAAGGGTAGGTTCCCAAAGTGATGAGCAAACCCCACTTATTAAGTCAGTGTTTAAGGCAGAGCAGGAAGGTTCCGAGGAAGGAAGAATTTTTGGATCAGCAAGTGTGATATTTTCGCTTGCTCATTGGTGCTCCATAAATGCCACCTATGTCCGCTCACTGCCCAGGCAAGAGATCTGGACTCACGCTGGGCTCTGCACTGTCCCAGCCACCTTCGCATCAATTAACAAGTCCTGAACTTTCACTTGATAAATCCACCCACTCGATGTCAAACCGGGACCAGGCTGCAAGCCTAGCACCCTCTCTCCATCAGAACACCAGTCTCCAAAGTGTTTCTCCGTCGTGTGTAGTCCCTCTCAAATCCACTGCCCACAGTGCAGCCATAGGGAACTTTCTCAAATGCAAACCTGGCAGGGCCATGCCCCTGCCTGAACCCCTCAGAAGCTGCCCACACCCCGTGGGTAGTCCCGGCTGCCCCACCTCTCCCGTGCTCTGGCCTTCTCGCTCCCATCAGGCATGAGGCTGACATGTCCGCCATCCCCGAGGCCCTTCAAGCCTGAACCCCGAGTGCTCCTTCACCCTTCGCCTGTGACGTGCAAGCTTGAATACGCTTTTAATGATTTTTAGCAAGAAACATGTGGGTGTCAGGTTTCTCACTTACAAAACAGGGTTAATATTTATTATATCAAATGAGATAGTTGCAAAGGGTTATATAAAAATAAGGTGTTAACATTACCGGTTCTATTTTTAATTAGCTGTGAAGTAAGTGGAAATTTAAAAGCATTGACAGGATTTAAGGAAGAGCATGCTGGCCTTCCACTTACCCAGCACTTCTCAGGAACTAGACACTTTATATATTAACACACCAACTCATCTGACTACCACGGAGCCACCCAAGTGTGCAGTAAACCCTGTTTTCAAGATGAGGTTCTCACACTTGCCCACGGGCCCCAAAGAACACAGGAAGCAGAAGGATCCAAACTAGGCGTCCCAGGCTCCACAGCCCACAGTCCTTCACCTGTCCCCAGAAGAAAGGCCTGGTGATCTACTTTCAAAACTCAGCCATTGAAAACTCCATTGAACATAATTCTACTCTGACACACATACAGTCACCATGAGTTGAAGTCAACTCATCGGCAACAAGAACTGGTTTAAATTTCCTCAAATTTATTTATAAACTCCGTGGTACACCAATTAAAATTTAAGTATAATTTTTTACAAAAAGAAACTTAACAGGCTGATTTAAAACTACATGGAAGAGAAATGCTAAGTATAGCCAGAGACTAATGACCCAATAAGCAAGGCCTGCACGGAAAACCCTGGTGGCTCCGTGATTAAGAGCTACGGCTGCTAACCAAAAGGTTGGCAGTTCGAATCCACCAGGCACTCCTTGGAAACCCTGTGGGGCAGTTGTTCTCTGTTCTATAGGGTCACTATGAGTCAGAATTGACTCGACGGCAAGGGGTTTGTTTTTTTTTGGTTTGCACGGGCTTACTTGTGCTTATCTACTACCTTACTAATCTGTAGTGCACAATTTCACATGAGCTTCACCACATCTTTGAAATTATGCACTACAGATTAGTAAGTAAATACAATTGAGTCCGTGTGTACCTTGCTTACTGTAAGCACGCGCATACCTTGCTTACTGGTTCACCTGCCCTTGAGTATAGGCAAGCTAATTTTGCAACAGAAGAGTAATGGGGAGGTCCTGGCTGTAGTGGCTGCGTATGAAAGGGTAGCAATTAAAACCATGATGGAACTAACACAGAAAATAAACTTCATACACACATGCATTTGTCATTATGATAATCAGAGCATTCTAAATCACTGAGGAAAGAAGAACCTATTCAGGAAATGATGTGGGAAAAAGTGAAGTGAGCCCCTTACCCCAACACTAACTGCAGAAATTCCAGATGGATGAGCCAAGCGAAAGTTAAAAACGCACAAGCAAACAAAAACTATAAAAGTATTAGCAGACACTAAACCAAAAAATAACAAACCGCTTGCCATTGAGTTGACTCTGACTCATGGCAGCCCCACATGTGTCACAGCAGAACTGTGCTCCCATGGGTTTTCAATGGTTGAGTTTTTCAGAAAGTAGATTATCAGGCTTTTTTTCTGAGGTGCCTCTGGGTGGACTCGAACTGCCAACCTTTTGGTTAGCAGGAAGTGCTTAGCCGTTTGCATTACCCAAGGACTAGATACTAATGCCCTAATGAATAGTTATGTTTATAATTTTGATAATGAGCCAAGAAAAGATTTGCCAAGCAAAACATAAAACTGAATAGCCAAAAAAGAAATGACTGATAGATTTGACTACAGAAAAACTGATTATTTCCATATTATAAGCCTACACCCCTGCCCGTGCTTTATCAAGAATTCCAAGTTATACAAGAGTAAGACAAATGGCCTGATAGAAAAATGAGCAAAGGAAATGATCAGACAACTCATAGCAGAAACCCCCAGGGCTGTTAAGTATTCTCAGCCTAACTAATAATCAAGAAATGCCAATAAAATCAAGGAGCAACCGTTTTAATGATGAATAATATTGGGACTGGAAAAGATTCTGGAAAATGGCAGATCTGAAAGCAGGTTGGTGGGATTGCAAATGGCTAAAGCATTTTAAGAGGGCAATTTAACAATGTCTGTTCAACTTAAGATTTCATACCATTTGGCCCGGCATTTATACTTCTAGGAATCTGTTCTTCAGAATGCGTGCGCTAACACGCCTGTGTGTAAAACTGTTAGGAGCGGCACCGCTTGTACGGCAGGCAGTCTCCGGGTTTTGAACGTCCGTCTTATGTACGACCTGTAGTTACGAACCACGCCCCGTAAACCCTATTACATTAATAATTTGAGGCGCTTACAATGGTTTGTAATAACAGGCACTACTTTGCGATGTGCATCAAAACATTATTATTATTATTGTATTATTATGTTAAAGATGTTTTAGTGCATCTGGAAGTGTTTCTTTAATGTTTTCATGCATAGAAAGTTACACTATATACTATATACTAAGACGAACATTTGACTAACCGACATTAGATACGAACCATACCTAACTGTTTTGATTTACATATAAATTCGACTTAAAAACAGATTTAGGAATGGAATTTGTTCCTAATATGGGTGTAATCCAGGGGTAATCCGGGCATAATCCAGGGACTGCCCACACTGAAAAACGGGAAACAGTTTACAGGGCACCAGTGGAGGAGTAGCTGAGTATTTGTAGGTACATTCACATTGTGGAACATGACAGTACCATACCACACACAGGGACGATCCAATTCCTGCCAAAATGCAAAAGGAAACACGCATCCGTCAACGTAAACACACAGAGAAGAGCTGGGAGCACATACAACTGTTTAAAAGTTCTCTCTCCAGATGAGGACTCCGAGTCGGCAACAAGGTGGGGGTACGTATTCATATTTACTAGATATACTGACTTACACTGTGTGATTATTTTACAATGATAATACAGCTGTGTATTATGATATACGAAAACAGACATGAAGTCAAGAGAATGATAAAAAATAAAACTGTAAAAAAAATAAGAAACACTTCTAGATACAGTGAAACTTGTGAGAGCTGGAACTCGACGGGACTGCCTTGTTTTTCCAGGTCTTGCTCAAGTTTTCTGTCTTTGACAGGGTGCAGTCACCACTTTTCTGTTGCTTTCTATTTAGTGGAAAATATTTGAGTTTTCCTTCCCTGACAGGTCTCCACCTTACACAGGTTCCAGCTTTCACAGGTTTTACTGTATACACATGTGCATATTTAAAAAAATACCCATTGCCGTCAAGTCAATTCTGTAATGCCTGATATATGATTATATGCTTATATTCTGTAATGGAATCCTGGTGGCGCAGTGGTTAAGAGCTGGGCTGCTAACTAGAAGGTTGGCAGTTCAAACCCACCAGCTGCTCCTTAGAAACCCTATGGGGCAGTTCTATTCTGTCCTATACGGTCACTATGAGTCAGAATCAACTAGACAGCAATAGTTTTTTTTTTTTTTTTTAGTTTATATATTCTATAATGTCAATAAAATAGAAATTTAAAACAGAAAAATTATAAAAGAGCTTAATCTAATAAAAGTAAGCACCACATTAGCCCTAAATTTTCTCGAGGCAATACAAAAGGGAAAGTAAATGGGTGTCTGATTTTTACTCTCTGGTAAAACAATTTTCAGCTGGATCACCCACTGGGTGAACATAAGTTCTCGGGTCCCTTCTCAGCAAAGGAAGCCCTAATCCAGGTTAGGAACCTGACTTGCCTCGTGCCTCTGGATGCCTTGTTAACTGCAAACTTGAGGACACTCAGCTAGGTAATCATGATGCCCAACGAAGCCATGATTAGCAGAAGCGCACCCGGAGAACAATGGAACTGTCAGCTACAAATGCTCAGTGGGAAATCGTGCCAGGCAACTTCAGTCCCTCTCGCTCGCTCTCTCTCACACACACACGCACACACATGCACACACACACGGGCACACACACGAGGAACAGCTCTTACACTGACAGGCTCCTGGCATCCTAGGGGCAACAGCCACTGTGGGTTGCACAAAGCCAGGAGAGAGTATATTAGGGAAAACCATGTTCAAAGGGAAGCTGATCTCATGATGCAAACTCAGATCTCCTCCTCTGCTGCCCCCTCCAACATCAGGAACGTCCCCCGCAGTGTTAGGCTGGGCAGCCATCCACGCTGAGCCTTAGTGACCTCCCTGCTCCGAGAATCCCCGTTAGCCAGTCTGATTCAGTCGTTTCTCTCGGAAACCACTCCATCTCCTTGCTGGCTAAGTAGAGCAAATGCCCTGAAGGTGTCAGATTCACTCCTTGGGGTCCCACAGTACATACTGTAAATTCCATTTCCACCTGCCTGACGGAGACCAAGTAAGTGTGAGTCAGAGACACAGACAATGTTGGCTCAGACCAGCAACGTACCCTAGCGTGATTTCTCAACAAAGGTTGTGTCCCCTCTTCTCTTACCTGTAGCTCAAAGTTGGCTTGATCCAGAAACTTTTTGTTCAGCATATCTGCATACTGATTAATTGCTCGCAGGAAGACTCTGAAAAATCAGGAGAAAATTACATAATTACACACTTAGGCTCTGGCACCTTTGCTGGTTTGGCATTTCAACGAGATACAATCCGGGAGCGTCTGGAAAGCGAAAGCTCTAAGTCAGGTGAAAAATGGCGAGGTTTTGCCAATGTAAAGGCTGGAGAATTATATGCAGATGTTCTCCAATTTAATCAAGTAAATTAGCACAAGCAGAACGGAAGAAATAGACCAAGACAACAGCTTTTGAAAGTAACATATGAGAAGTATCACTAAAAAATCTAATTAAAAAAAAGAAAAGGTGCAAATCAAATCCTTTTATTAAGCTGCAATGTCTCAATGTTATACTGTTATACCGGACTCCACTTGGCTGCCTTTTTTTCAATGAAGCAGTTGAAAGCTTAGTTATACACCAGCCATTAGGCCTGGGATAGTTTGGTATACTATTAACTGTGCTTAGAAGCATGAGTGACTTCAGTCTCATTAGTCCTGTGTCCCAAATGCTAATCTGCGTCATTGTTTCCTTGTTCAAAGCAAAGGAGCTAGTACTTATGAGAATTTTAGCAGGAACGGTGATTCATTGATGATGCGAAATTTTAAGCACCGTGAGCAAACCCTCGTATCCTTCAATGCCTCGGCTTTTGCTTTTCCATGATAAAATCTGCAATGTGGGCTGTCACAAACGTCTGCTGTGCACGGAGACTTTCACAAGCTGCTTCATTCAGTAGATTTGTTTCATTACCCCTGGAAGTGTTTACGATAATAAAGCTCAGTCCAGATCCTTCTTTGTCAGCAACCCGTCTCCCTTTGCACCAGGGCAGAATGCAAGAAGAATGTGCAGGAGGTCACGGATGATAAACCTAATTACATTCCTCTGTTCAGACAGCAGGAAGCAGCCAAAGACAGTAAAAGGAATCTAGGGAAGTTACTAGTAACTGGTGCTCTCTTACGAGGTTACCTCGTTAGCTATGCATGCCTGGGGTGCTCCCCATGCCTGGCCGATCCCAGAGCTGCTAAACGCCAGTTAGCCTGGGAAGAGGGAGGAATTCACCATCTGGCCCCCAGAGATGTCTCTATCACCACCAACCACCACCACCTCCCACCCATCACCCACTGCCACTGCGGTTTCTCTCATATTCACACTGCGTACAACTCTAAGAAAGGGGACTGGCAAACATCATTTCATTACAAGACCTATGAGCTGGATCTTGGACCAAGACAGGTGTACAAACAGCCAGGGACAGAGTTTGCTAGCTCAGTCACTGAAGAAAACTGTAGATGGAGCCATGTGAATTCTGCCCAGGGGCCGCATGTTAGATGACTTGAGCGGCTATTAGCAGAGGGACATGGGGATCCTCACCCTGTCCATTCACCGAGGGCACAGCCTGGGCAGCAGCTGCCATCAGCCACAGGGCTGCCACATTTTGCAAATAAAAAAACAACGCAGGATGTCCAGTTAAATTCGGAAAACAGCTCTCACTGCTGATTTTGTAACATGCTGAAGAAAGCTGAATGTAGAACATTTCGTGTACTCTAACAAAGTTCACCCACCACCCGTCTATCAGTCTGTCGTCC